GCCTGGCGCGAAGGCCGGGTCCAGGGTCCAAGGACCGGGCAGCGCCTTGGCCGGGCTGCGGGACCTGGGGCTGCCCCGTCCCTGGCGCCATGGCCGCCGAGGTGGTGGTTGTGGGATCCTGTATGACCGACCTGGTCAGGTTAGTACCCAGGGGGGCTCCCGCAGGCCGCGGCGCGGCTCCGGTTTCCTGCCCTCACCGGACGGAGGAGCCCCGAGGTCAGGGGAGCGCAGGGCGCCACGGTGCCCGGGGCAGAGCAGAGGCTGCCTGCGCCTCCCAGGGGCAGGCTGGGCCGGGGAGCACCCCACCCCTCTTGCCCTGGGCCAAGGAAAGCGGGTGTCACGCCTCTCTCCAGGCCGGGACAGGAGGAGCGGGGTGGGCGCCAGGTGCGGCGGCGCGGAGCTCTCGGCCCTGGGCAGAGGGAACCGAGGCGAGGAGTTGGCAGCGGCAGGGGCAGGGGGAAGGAGCAGAGCCGCCGGTGGGCGCGGCTGGGCCCGGGTGATGTCAGCCCTGCAAATACTGCTTTGAAAGAAGACTGTGGGAACGGGGAGAGGTTTGAACGTGTTGCCTGCTGGAGCTTTGATCAGCTGTCTGTAACTTTAGGGAGAAGAGAGACTTGGGTTTGTGTTTTCAGCTGTACTAGGTGGCTCGGCGTTAGCCGTGCCAGAAAAGCAGCATTTCATTGTAACCCGCATGGGAAATCGTGAACTCCGATACTCTTTATCAGCAGAGGAGTTTGAAACGATTTTATGAAGGTAAATAAAGATGGTCAACTGTAACACGTTTTCAGTTCAAAGCACTGTGTCCACTAGAAAAGCGAAAAAGAAAGCTTAATATTGCAAAGAAACTGAAGTTAGCTGCATGAAAAAGTAGATTATAAGTTGATTAGTTGCAGACAACATTTTATGTGACACTTTGGAAGGGGGGGGGAGAGACAGAGAGAGAGAGAGAGATGGCCTCCCAAGCTATTCATATGCAAACAAATCGAGAAGTGGAAGTAGAAAACCCTCAAAAATTTAGCACCTCTGCACCCCAAAGCTGTTTTTTAAATTATGAAACCCTTTTTTAAAGGAATGTCTCAATTCTTTTTTATTCTTTTTCTGGACATCTTGCTTTTAGAATTAGGTATTTGGGTCTCATTGTCTTTTTTTTTTTGAACATAGGTAAGGATTGGAAACTTCTTTTAAAAATTAAAGTACAGAAGTTCATGAAAGCTCTTGGGTCCAGCAGCCTGGGTTTTATAGTGAATACTAAATATCGGAAGAATTCAGGCAAAATTGCAAGAGTTGGCAACGATGCAAATACTAACCTAAACTGGCTGACCTTGTCAGCCCCAGTAAACTTGCAAATCAGTCTTTGATTTGCACTATTTTAAACACATCTGTTTTTAAACTATATATGCAGACTTGGTTAAAATAGGATTTAAAAGTATATGTATCTGGACTGCATCAGCTTGTCCTGGGAATTCTGCAGTAAAAAACACAACTCCTCACTCTGAATCAGCAGACAATTATATCAAAGCCTGTGGGTCAAGAAAGTGTAGAACACATGAT